ATTACATTTTTAATACTAACACTACTTTCATTATACGTATTGCTGCATTTGTAAGTAGTGTAATATTAATTGTATGATTTAAATGTGAAATTAGTGTAAGGTTATGTTGTTGCTTTATAAAAAAATTTTTTGTGTCACAAAAGTATGTTGTGTTTTTCTGTTTTAGGTGAACATCAAAGTCAAGGTGCTGCAGTTAAATGAAGCCTGAGATGCATACACCCGCAGTAGTCAAAAAATGATGACCAGGTCTTATAAGGTTGCCGATGCGACATACAGCATGTCCCTGACTGTATGGGGTGGGGAAGTACTTAATGTTGCAAAATGGTACACCCTCACTAATGTGTCAGTGCGGAAAAGCCGAGGTTTGAACCAGTGACCCAGCGACCTTCTTGCTGTGAGGCGACAGCACTACCTACTGCGCCACTGCCTCGCCTACTCTACAATTATATTTTTTATTCTGGCAAGAATAATAGCAAAAGAAACTTTTAATTATTTTGCCCAATCAACAATTGACAAATTATTGTCTGGCTAGTTTTTGTCCTCTACCTTTGAGCTGAAAATGCAATAATGGTCCAACAAACCTGTCCATTATCACTAATAAAGACTAGAAATTGGGCATCAGTATACTGTAAGCCGACAGGTTCATATTTTCTTTTCCAGTTATCAAAGACTTAATTTGTTACTTAATTTTTGTTACATTGCTTTAACTTCAAAAATATACATCAGTGTAAAACCTACAAATGGTGGGAAAACATTCTGTAATATTAAAACCACCTGGGTCTCCACTTTTGCCATGGCCTCTTTTTTGTTGTAACAAACTTATCCCCCAGGTTTTTCCAAACTTTTTAACAAAACACTTCCTTTCCACGGCTGTTACTATTTCTAGCCAAGAATTATTGGTCAGGTTATCTCTATGGTGATCACGCATGGTCGGATCGTTAAGATGTCTGTACAGTTACACTGTTTCAGACAAAATCCCTTCAAAGTGACTCCTATTCAACTCAAATCAAACGCGGCGCCGCATGAACTCTTCACCCAAAAATCATGTCGCAGGCTTCCAAAGTGAACCTCCGCAAACACGGCAATGACGACACATATACCGCGCACACTGAGCTATGGCACGCTGGTCTTATTTGTAGTTTTAATACCGCAAATTACATTAGGACTAGTGAAATAAAGAACTACATCACCACGAAACCAAGTGTTACTTCCCTTCCTCTTTTTGGTCTAGGGTTAGGGAAGGAAAACAACAAAGAAAATTAAAAATTTAGAATTTGAGAAAAAAGAAGACCAAATTAATGAATTGTGTATAAATTAAATAAACAAATATTGAGGGAACACTTCAATCCTGCCTCAGAAATGTGAAACAACCACAAGAGTAAACTTAAGTTATTTTATTATTTGGTTCTTAAACAATAAATGAAGCATAAATTTTTAGGAGAAGGATTAACCAAAACAACATACAAAACCGGTCTAGCTCAGGAGGAGTACTAAATAACCTAATTTCAGGTAAAAGAAGAAACAACACAGGCTTTCCTCAACTCCCTTACTATCAATAAACACAGTCAAACAATTACAAAAATAAAAATGGCACCCTCTCCCTACAGCTTAAATTTTTATATCAAAAAGTCAGACAAAGAAATAATACAATTACCTTTTACGTACCACACACAAAAGAATAAATGTATTTAAATAACAACTAAGAAAACAGACACACTGCCTGTAAAATTCCACTAGGCAAAAACAAACAAGCTTCTCAACACACAAAAACTAAAATTGAACTCACTCGCCCATTAAACTCCTTTTTACAACCAACCAGATCAACACCCACAACGTATGACCACAACACTCACGAGTCTGGAGCACTGTTTTGTAGCAGCGCATTACTGCAGCACGCTCCAATGATGAGCACCACCTGGGCCCAATCAGCTCTACCTAGTGAGCAGGCAGAGAGACACAGTGAAAGTAAAAGAGAAAACACACAACATAACCACTCCCAATGGGCAGTAAACACATAAACAAACAACAATAATAATAAATACATCCAAGGGATGTAACACCAAGCAACAACAAAAAATTATTTAAATGAGCATTAGGAGTAGCATTACATGGACATCGGAAAAGTAAGACCTGTGCAAGCATATTTAAGACCTAGAACAGCGAATTTAAGACTTTTTAAGGCCTAAATTTTAGATGTTTATATTTTAGACCTTTTAAGACCCCTCGGAAACCCTGTGTAAGCCAGATGGCACAGCAGAGGGCAGGTTTCATTCACTTATTGTATGCGCTTTTTGGATATGCACATAAAAACGGTTGATGGAAATGCTATAATGCGAATATTTTTCGAAAATGTGTGTGAATGTACAAAACAGCAGGCTAAGCACATTGTAAAACATCTAAAGTGTTGTTTTGGTCATTCTAAACTGCCTCAACCATTTCAGTATTGTTATATTAGTATTTTAATGACCTCCAAAATTGTCAAGAGTGTCTGCACTCCATGTCTCGCGCCTTCAAACGCCAGCGCGCGTTCACTGCAAGTCATTTATTAAATGAAGATAATATAGTCCCGTAGCTGCTCCCACCGATGCATATTCTGTTTTTACTTTTGATGTTTGTCGCCAGTTAATCAGAAGGTGGCGATTTTGTTCTCTTTGACTTGTTGGACGGAAACGCTGCTTTATTTGCATAGTCTTTTATGCAATATTCTAGTTTTGGGCATACATTTAATTAGCATTTAAGATGATAACATAGCTATTCACACTGCATCAGCACAGCTGTCCCCTTTCTTCCCTATGTACCTGTAGGTGAACAGCTCCTCCGGGTGTGGCCATGGGCATTCATCCTCTGCTTTTTCTTCCTCATTTCTTCTGTCTTAAATCTCCATATGTCTATTGATAACTTCGTGACTGTATGATGATGACGGTCAGCTCACGTAAATCTGCAGTAGCCTGAACTTGTTTTTCGGTTCAAATAATATACCAGGCTTTTCATTGGTCCATTAAGATGACCTTTTTTTATTGGCTACAGAAATGCTGGTCAGTGTGGGGTTGAAATAATAATTTATTTACAGTACTCTGTAACGAATTGTGATTTTAAAAGTTACAAAGTAGATTACTCAGCTTAATTTGTACTCAAGTACAAGTAAAATTACAGGCTTAAAATTATACCCATGGAAGTACAATTACCCCAACAATGTACTTAATTACAGTAACGTGAGTAGTTGTAATTTGTTACTCCCACCACTGCTGTTTACTGCTGAGTGTGACATGGCAGGGAAAGAAACAGCACCTCTAAGTCAGAGACCATGGTGCTCGACTGGACAAAGGTGGCCATCTCCAATTTGAAGGAAAGTCCTTAACTCAAATGTAGCTTAAGTATCTGCGTTTTTTTCATGAGGAATGGAATGTGAGATTAAAAGATGGATCAGTGCAGCAGCAGCAGTTTTGCAGTTGATGTGATTGTCTGTTGTGGTAAACGAGCTGAGATGAAAGGCAATTTTTTTCAATTTACCGCTCAATCAAGGTTCCTACTCTCACCTATGGTCATGACTGAAAGGACAAGATCTTAAATACAACCGGACACATTTCACAAAGTGTTATGATCTGCTTGTTTGAGTCGCAACATAAAAGAGAGATGAGCCAACAAAATAGCCTGAATGCAAATTATTTATTATAAAATGTAACTCATAAAACCATGAATCAAAGCAACCAACAAATGTCTAGGGATAATAATGAAGATAAAGAACTTAGGATATAATCACAACAACACTTTTACTACATGATATAAGCAATGCAAAACAAAACCATAAGGTTAAAGATTAAATGAGATGGCAGGTCTTGACAGGAGGACTCCTGAGTAGCCACAGCGTCCTGGATTAGCTAGCAGCCTAGCACAACAACTTTTATATACCCATAGATGAGTAATGCAGGCATCCAATCAGGATTTACCACATACTCTAATCTGGAGTCTTGGGATCATCAAAGTGTATTAATATTGTAAAACTTAATACCTGTCACTCTGCCTAAATCATAAAATATTCATAATGCATCTTTATTTATTTATGTCTTTCCAGTGATGCTACTCATTCAGGTAGTCAGACAGAGAACATCATCCAAAACAACACTAGCTACATAAATACACTGGAGAGTGGAGTACAGATGTATCCGCACCTGTACAATCACTTGCAAAGAGAGATTTTAAGCTGCTGAGATGCTGTTTGTCAGATGTTTATGAAACTGTTCTTCTCTCAGCCGCCATCATTGTGTTTACGGTAAACGCGAGGAGCGCAACACATTTACAACCCCACCTACTGCAATGTAGGAGTGTTGGAAAACAATATATCGTCACTCAGCCTTTTCAAACATTATTCAGACATGAAACATCCTGTGCACATGAGAAAATGTTTTGCTGCATTCATATCATGTGTGCAACTTTTGTCCAATTCTGTAGACACTCATCAGATCTGTACGGTTTCTCTCCAGTGTGAATCCTCTTTTGTGTTTTCAGATGTGTTACTGATTAAACCTCTTGTCACAGTGTGAACACTTGTAGGGTCTCTCCAGTGTGAAACGTCGGGTGCAGTTAAAATTTTGAAATAAAAGTCTTCTCACACTCAAGCACATATACTCTTTCACACCAGTGTGGATCTTTATGTGTTCATTAAGGTTTGCTAATCGGTTGAAACTCTTCCCACACTGAGTGCATTTAATGGTTTATCTCTAGTGTGGGTCTTCATGTGTTTATTAAGGTCTGAGGAGTTGCTGAAACTCATCCCACACCCCAGCTGCGGTCATACTAGTTTGAGTTTGAGCATGCAAAATTCTGTTGTTTGGCGCTGTGAAAAGCGGCGGGATTAAACAAGATTATTAGACATAAAAAGCGAGCTATTGGTCCATATTTTACATTTCTGTCCAGAAAGGTCATGTTTTAATCTTTGATTGGTCTCACACAGTCAAGTGATGCGATTTTGCAGGTCAGAGTTCACCAAGCTTGAACTTTGCAATGCAGTGAACTGCGAAACTTAACACACAAACTTGGTTTCCGGTCTGACACATTCCCGTGCGTATGAATGGAAATCCATGGGGGAAAAAGTCCATTGTGACCGCTGCTTAAGTGCAAGTTTCTCTCCAGTGTGGCTCATAATGTGTAGATTAAGGGATGATGAGCAGATGAAACTCTTCCCACACTGAGTGCATGTGAATGGTTTCTGTCTAGTGTGGATCCTCATGTGTCGATTAAGGTTTGATGATTGGTTGAAATTCTTCCCACACTGAGTGCATGTAAATGGTTTCTCTCCAGTGTGGATCCGCATGTGTTCATAAAGGTGTGATGAGTAGTTAAAGGTTTTTCCACACTGGGTGCAAGTAAAGGGTTTCCCTCTAGTGTGGATCGTCTTGTGATTATTAAGGGATGATGATCGGTTGAAACTCTTCCCACACTGAGTGCATGTGAATGGGTTCTCTCTAGTGTGGATCTTCTTGTGTTGATTAAGGGATGATGATTGGCTAAAACTCTTCCCACAATGCGTGCATCTGAATGGGTTCTCTCCAGTGTGAATCATCATGTGAATCTTAAGATCGAAATTTCTTCCAAAGCTCTTCCCACACTGAGTGCATGTGAATGGTTTCTCTCCAGTATGAATCATCATGTGTTCATTAAGGTGTGATGATCGGCTGAAACTCTTTCCACACTGAGTGCATGTGAATGGTTTCTCTCCAGTGTGGATCCTCATGTGTTGATTTAAGTTTGATGATTGGCTAAAACTCTTCCCACACTGAGTACATGTGTATGGTTTCTCTCCAGTGTGGATCCTCCTGTGAATCTTAAGTTCCCTTTTTCTTCCAAAACTCTTCCCACACTGAGGGCATGTGAATAGTTTCTCTCCAGTGTGGATCCTCATGTGAATCTTAAGATAGCCTTTACTTCCATAACTCTTTCCACACTGAGTGCAGGTGAAACAATTTTTGTCTCCCCTTTTCAAAATACCATCAGTCTGTAAATGAGTTTTTTTCTCAATTTTGACATGATGTTCCTCCTCTTTACTGCCCTCATTCTCTTCAATTGGGTCTGAAATAAATAAAACATGTTTTCATAAAGTCTTAAAAACTCTCATCAAAAGCTGAAAAGTAAAAAGACACTGGAAACATTGGCTACACACACTGCAATTTTGATGCATGGTAAATGTAAAATAAATCAGATCATATTTTGTTTAGTCCATTAACATGTACACATTTAAGCAGATTCAATTCATGTCATCTTTATTTATCTAGTGTTTTTACAATGTAAATTGTGTCAAAGCCACTTAACATAGAAGTTATAGTAAATTGAAACCGTGTCAGTCCAGTTTTCAGACTCTCTTACATAATTGATCATAAAAGTAATTTTGGTCATATTAATAAGACAGATTTGAAAGCTGTAAATGGAATTTTTATTTGTATATATTCATAATTACAACAAAATGTTTTTCTAAAATGTGTAAAGCAGACAGGGAACAGGGCCGGAGTGGGACTCCTTTTTAGCTCTGGAATTTCAAGCCTTAGACCGGCCCACCTCAGTCGACGACTGACTATATTAATAATAATATGCGGATGATCTTCTTTTTCTGTCGAATCCAGACACATGTATTCCAAAAGCTCTTACAATAATTTCAGAATTTGGAAATGTTTCTGGATACAAAGTCAATCTAGCAAAGAGTTTCCTTTTCCCTATCAATGATAGAGCACAGCAAATGTCCTTCCAATCCTTTCCATTTTCATTTTATCAAAGTCCTGATAAGTTTGTATAGTGACGCGCAAATATAAGGATTCGTTCAATAATAATTTTAAAATTACATTAGTGCTCAAGGACGTTTTTAGTGCTCAAGGACACCTTACAAACAGTAGGAGAACAAGAAAAGCAATAACCTTAAGAAGGTAGAGAAAATGGGAGACTAATAATACATAAAATAATGACAAAAGACACGAGAACAAGTAACAAAAGAAACTCGTTCCTGTCTTTCAATAAGTGCTTATGTGCATTTAGGAGAACTAGGCAGCACACTCAGGGCTGCAAGATGGATTTAATTTAGTATTCTTATTATTAAAATATATCTGAATGAAGATCAAATGACTGAGTTGGTTTCGAGAATGAAAACCAACCTGTTTGTTCCTGCAGATCTTCCTGTTTGACTGTGAATGTTTCTTCAATCTTCACATCTTCACTCTCCTCTTTAATAAACGCCATCTTTATAACAGTGTGGAGATCAGTCGCTTCAGCAGGAGTTTTTCTCTGTGTTTGGACACTTTATTCTGTTTAAAATGAACAAAACAATGAACAGAAACAAAATAACTTCTCTTCAACACTTGCTTCAACAGTTTCTTTATATGAGAGTGATTGACAAAAATAAATCAGGTAAGTCTAAACAAGAAACAATAGCCACAAACAAATGACCTAATAAAAACTAGTTCTCCATTTATTATATATATATATATATATATATATATATATATATATATATATATATATATATATAGAATATTGTTTACTTATATTAGAATGACATTATGCTAGTAAATAAATAAAACCTTCATTAAAACACATTTCTGTTGTTCAAACAATAGCCCTCGATTACTGAGATTAAAATAGTACTACGTTGTATAAAGAATTAAAATAAAAGTCAACAGCAGGTATGTCATATTGGAAGAAAAACCTGAAACTTTAATCAATCGGTTTATATGTGTAAAGTTGTGAAACAAACCTTCCTCCAGTTGAACTGCAGCGCGGAAGCGGCGCAGCCTAATGACGTCACACACCACACCAAAATAAAAGTCTTTTTTGTTCAGTTTTTTTTTGGCCACTTACTGTTGCAGTCAGGACATGATCAATTTCTCCCTCGTTTTCCACTTTACACAACATATCTGCTGTCTCTCATATACATCGACATTTAAAATTTGAAGTTGATCAAAACTTTTAATCCAAACATTTTAAAACAATTTTGAAAAACTTGTTTAATCCACTAAGTTTAAGTGTTTTTTTTTTATTGTTGCAAAAAAGTTTACATCACAAAACAGGGAACAGTCAACATCGCAAGGCATATTTAACATTAAAATATATAAAATAAATTTAATTTGTTACAACTGCAACAAAAGATCTACATCAAAAGAAAAACAAAACATTATGACAATAAGTGTTTTAAAAAATAAAGTACAGAGAGCTTCAGTTATTTTACTTTGATTTCTGAAGTATTTGAAGCTTTGAACCACTTTCTCTACCTCAGAAAGAAAACACCTGAAAGAGGGTCAGCACTCATTAAAATAAAGTTCACAACATCAGAGAAAGAACAATGTAAATCAGCTTTGTAAAATAAAATATCTTCTAAAACAATAGGGGGGACTGAAATCATCTTTAATGAAAGCCAAGGATGGATGTCAAACCAGAATTTAAAAGTAATTTCACAAGAAAAAAATAAGTGATCGAGTGTTTCTGGAAGATTTAAGCAGAAGCTACACTTGTCAACATCAGAGTTTTTTTGAATAAACTAATTCACAGGATATATCCTGAATACAATTCTGTAGTGAGTTTCCTTAACCTTGGGTGCTACGGGATATTTAAGATAAAAGGTAAAAGCTTTGTCCTCTACTAAGGGTTTAACAACTCCTAGATGATGACACTTAAAATCACCAATGATAAGCGTTTAAATTGTTTGTAAATAAGCTTGATGTTACATTTACCATCGAAAATATCAACATTTGATATTTTTAAAAATGGAAGAAAAGTTATAAGTATAAATGGGAGATCAAAACAATTACTTTGAATTAACCTAAACAAAGCAATAGGTATAGCCTCGCAAATTTCAGTATAACCTTTATCTATGATTTTAACTCTATATTTATTTAAAAATTCGTTATGAGATAGCAGTCCATTTACATCTAACAAATCATTAATAAATATAATGCCTTTATTGTACCAGTCACCTCTAAACAATGATTTCCTGTTAATAATAACAGCCCTTTTATTTCAAAGAGTGGATTAATGAGGGGAAAATTATGGGTAAATATCATTTTCCAAAAAAGTAGTGCTTGCTTATGAAAAGTAGACAGCTTCAAAGGAAGTTTTGAACAATCATAATCATATCTTAATACAAATTCAAGGCCACCATTTTTTTAAACAAATTATTTGGGATATGATACAATATTGAATAAGGCTTTGCTAAACACTCTTTCAATCATTTAACTCTAAAAGAAGACATTCAAAATCGATAGCTTTTAAACCTCCATATTCAAACTCTTTGATCATATAATTCTTACGTAAATAATGTGTTTTATTTTTACAAATAAATTTAAATAATATTTAATTAATAGATTTAACTATTTTAGGAGGAGTATATAAAGGAAAAGTTAAATATATAATTTTAGATAATCCCAGTCAAAAGAATTTTACCCTATATGGAAAGGTCTCTAGCTAGCCAATGATTTAGGGATTTTTTTCATACCTTCCATTTTAATATTAAAATTTGCACATTCTCTATTAAATGATACAGATTGAAACTTCAGGTTCTCCTGTTCAAAATGATATATGACACTTGAGGCTGACTGCTAAAATAAAAATAAAACTGCTTTAAAAAAAAATAATAATATAGGCCCATTAGGTGCCCACAAAATACCTCTAGGTCTTTAAGGGTTAACAGAATTTTTGGTGATGGTAACTCCCAAATATTTAACTTCTTCTTTTACTAGAATACCCTCTAATTCTCTTAAAGCACAATTCTGAATAGTTAATATTCCACATTTTCTTAGGTTTAAGGTGAATTCAGAAGCTTTAGGAAACAGAGATTTTGACAAGAGCTAAAGGAAGCACCTCCCTATTTTTAAGAATTAATAGAGTGTCATCAGCAAACTGACTTAAACTAAAAGTCCTACCAAGTATATCAATACCTAAAGTGTACTCTGAATTTTTTTAATATAATGACATAAGTTCAACAGCTATATTAAAAAGAAAAGGTGAGATGGGACATCCTTGATGGATTCCTCTTTTGATGTAAACTCCAGGAGATGATCCTGAATTCAGAGATTTACTACTGAATATATCAGTATAGAACATGAAAATTACCCTACAAAAGCTCGGACCAAACCCAAAAGTTGGTCTAAAGACAAAAAAGGATGCTCAAGGGTATCAAATGACTTGAAAAAGTCTAGAAATAGAAATAAACTTGTCTGAGGAATTAAATACAGTAGGTGAGAGTTCAAAGTGGCTATTAACGCCGCGGCTGGTACCGCCGCCGTTTGAAATAGGTGCCGCTCTGTTTTTAGTGTATGACCGCAGTTTGTGAATGAGCCGCCAGGGGGCGCAAAGGGACGGGATGCGAACGGACAGAAATAGCCCATACAGCTACTGTGCTTGTAAATGATATTAAACAATAAGTCAAAGCATTATAATTCCTTCATTAATCATTTAAAATTTGTTAACACGCTTTATTGTAAACTTTTTAAGTGCAAAGAGGATTCGTTTTGGAAAATAGAATTGAAGAAGTAAAAGACAACTAAAATGAAAGCACAAACATTTAGTACAAATAAGTAGTCTTAAATAAATAAATAAATAAATAAATAAATAAATAAAGCAGCCTAAATATAGAAAGATGTTCAGTGTTTGCTATTTTGATAGGACTAAGACAAGACATTTTCATTTATGTTTTATTTCTGTTTTTATTTCCATTTTCGTTGTTGATTATATTTTACTATCTTATTTATGTCTCAACAATTGTACATAAACGAATAATAAACGAATAATGAAAATAAATGAATAATGAAAATAGGCCTAAATAAATTATTTATTTAAAGA